CACACACACACACACACACACACACACACACACACAAACACATGCCATCCCCTTAATCTGTATATGGTTAAATATGTTTGAATGATTTGTGTCAGATCAGACAGCTGGCAGATAGGTCGAACTTGAACCTTCATCACTGATGTCAAATACTAGTTATGCTATTCTACACTGTACCTAAAAAAACAAAAATAAAACAAATAATGCTTTATTGATGAGCCATATATCATCTCATTCTTCCCAGCACTTCATCTGCTTTACAGTGAGGAAATCCAAGCTTTCAGTCTTTTCCCACAGGCCTCAGTGTTAGACTTTGGGAAGCTCTTTGGTTCTTACCTGAAATAACACATTACATCCTGTTCCCCTTGTTTTCATTATTTTGAGGGATAATGTGATTCTTCAGAGAAGCCAACATTAATGAAATTTCCATCTCCATGTGTCTTTGTACAATCAGATTAAAAGACAATCAGACGTAATTTATCTGTAGAAACTTAGAGGGGGACACTTGTGTTCTGTACTCCAGCCCTTCCGGACATGCACGTAGGACTGCCCACAGGCACACAGGTTCATGCCTCTGCTGCCTGTTAACTGTGTCCTCCCAAAGTCTTCTAGTCCTGGGTGAGGCCTTTATGTGACCAATATTTGTCCTCACTTTAGGGAGATACTAAAAACAAGCAAAAACAAAACCCAAAAAACTCCCAGCATTTTGAGATATATTTAATAATTTCATGGGGTAGTGTTTCTTTTCTAAGCATTGGAAATATAATTCTTATTTTATGATAATGAATTGACTAGTAGGGGAAGCATCGGTTTGGTGTTCAGGGAAACTAACCTCAGATTTAAAATCATCACAGGAACCCTGACAGTGAATAATTAATACACTGCAGTTAATGCAATGCAGGTACTGATACCTGGATTTAAATTGAGACTTGGCTACCCATTGGCTGTGTTGCCCTGGCTTTGTTTTCCCCCTCTTTGAACCTTGTTTGTTGAGAATATTGAGAATAGGTGTGTGAGAGATTGGAAGGCTGCTGAGGGGCAGGTTGCAATGAAGAGGCGATTTGGGATTTGGCTAAGGAAGGTGGAGAAATTACTTGCTGAGGGTGGCATGAAAAGAGAAGTGGCAGCACGTGGCAGGGGCCAGACTGCAGGGAACAAAAAAAGCCAGCAAGCCTTTAAGTGAATGCTGGTGTTTCACTGGTGAGGAAGAAACCTCTTAGTGATTAGAAAAGACAGGCAAAGGGGACCGTTGGGTGGAAATAATAAGTATAATTATGATAATAGTAGGAGCTAACCCCTCCCCTCCTTCCTCTACCTCTGCGTGATGTTATTATTCTTCCCATTTTATAGATTAAAACATTGAGGCTCAGAGAGCGTGAATGCATTACCTCAAGTCACATGGCTAGAAGGGATAGCCCATCTAAAGATGGCATCAGGACATCGAGTTTTTCACTGTTTTGTACATGGAATAAGACTGTTTCCAATTCTAGCAAAGCCAATTATAGAGATCACTAGGCTGTAAAAGGAAATAGGGTGGTGGGTGGGGGGGTTGTTTGGATTTTTAGGTGCCTCCTGCTTTGGCATTGTTCTTCCTGGTAATTTAGAGCCCTGCCATCTGCCTGCTGGGCTGCTGGAGGGGCCACTCATCACTGTTGCCTTTATACTCTAATCTCTTTTTTCACCCTTTACTGCTTTCAGGATGAGGCGATTTCTCAAAGTAGTAAAAGGGCCACACAGGGCGGGCTGTACCCCCCAGGTTTGATTTCAGAAAGCTTTTTATTCAAGTTAATGACAGTTTATTCTTTCAAAACAATATATTCAAGTATTACACAGAGTTCGCTATTGTTCCATCATGTCATGTGATATAGTGCTAATGCTGGTGGGTGATCTGCAGAGGCGGTAGCTGGGCGAGTTTAGGGGCTATTCGGATGGCTGAGGTAATGTGTGCATTTTTAATAAGCAGATTCTTTCCTTGGTCTTAACCCTTTTGGATAAATATACCAGAGTATAATTTATGCTCTATACTGGTGCCAAATATCTGTTCCTCTTTTTATTTAAGCCAAAAGAATTTCTATTTTTCATAGCAGTCTCTGAATTAGCAATTTATTTATTTATTTATTTTTAAAAGATTTTATTTATTCATTTGAGACACAGAGATAGAGAGAGAGCATGAGCAGTGGGAGAGGCAGAGGGAGAGGGAGAAGCAGACTGCCCGCTGAGTCAGGAGCCCGATGTGGGGCTTGATCCCAGAACCCTGGGATCATGACCTGAGCCGAAGGCAGACGCTTAACCATCTGAGCCACCCAGGCGCCCCTAGCAATTTATTTTGAAGTGTAAAGCATTTACTAGAAAATGAAAAATTAAAAAATTACAAGTAGCAATAGATGGCCACAACAGAACACAAAAGCAAAATGTAGATTTGATGCAAATTAGATTCCTGGGGTTAAACAAGCCCTATAAATCTCTTAACTTAAAATTCAACCCCTTATATTTTTTAATGAATCATGATTTTATGTCAATCTATAGAAATGTTCATAAGAGAAATGCAAAATTGATATTTTATATATAAAAGTTATATAATTTTTTGTTCACTCCTAATGAATATGTGCATACACACACGTGTACACATATGACCTTCTTTACAACTGACCTGTCATTTTTGTTACTGACTTTGGATACAATGTAAGATTGTCTTGCTGCCTAAGGAAGAGACTGTCCTTGTTACCAACAAAGAAAGTCAGACATATATGGTGTAGATGCTTAAGTGATGCTAAGCAATTTTATTGGGAGTTCTGTGTTTGGTTGTTAAGAACATGATGTATGTGAAGTAGATTTTGACAGTGAAAAAAGAGTCAGGGGCTTTTCTTGGTGGAGCAGAATCCCATGGAATAGGCAGTGAGGGCTTTCAAATCACATGGAACATTGAGAATTAGTGCATGAGGCTGGAGCTGAGAAGGAATAAATCAATGGAAAAGGGTTGTAAGGAGAACACGAGGGAGCTACATTTCAAGCGATCAGTTTATTCACATCTTTCTCACCCACTCATCTCCTAGCCGGGCAAATAAAATAAAGGTGGAGTCTTTGTGTTCATCAGACCCCTGTCTCTGCCAGCTGTCAGACTTTCTCTCTGTTTTGGAAATGGAATGCCAAAGGAGGGGAAGAGAGAATGGATTTTAGAGCTTGGTCTTCTCTGAATGGCTTAAAGGTGACCTCTAAGCTAGGGTTGATCCTGAGCGTCTGTTCCCACTCCCCACCCCCCGAATACCATATTTGAAAAGTTGATGACGTATTTCCGATTACCTTGTAGGTTATTTGTGTATGTAATAACTCTTCAGTTAACCTTTTAAACATGGCTGTTAACCAGCAAAGTGTTAGCCTTACTCAGAAGAGCTGCAAGTACTGGGTGCATGATCCCTTTAAACCAATTGAGAAGGCAGAGCCATTTTGCAAGAGCAGCCTCACTTTTTTCCTCCCTTCAGTGCATCTGTGCGTGCATCCATTCTTGTTTCTTTCCATCACATCTCAGAGTAGGTATGTCGATGCCTTTCTCTGAAACTTAATGCCTTTCCATTTCACTTTTTTCTCCATTTGCCAGGAGTTTGCTTCTGTACTTTTCTTGTCTTTAGTATCTAGCTTAGTGAGCCTCTTTCCTCTTGTGATATAGATCTTCCCATCTTTTTTTTTTTAAGATTTTATTTATTGAGAGAATGAGGGAGTGTGTG